AGCCAAATGAAGCTTTTCTCATTTAAAGAGATCTCCCCAGGTATTTTGTCACAGCAACAGAAGCTGACTAGCACAAGAGCTAAAAGCACAGTTAATAAAGCATAGCTGCCACAAATCTCTCATGACCAACCCCAAGAATGACAAAGATACCAAATTCAATGCACCAAGAAAATTGGAGCTAATCATGAAAGCTCATTTTGCAACTTGAACTCAGGAACCATCACACTGTTTATAATCTGTTCAAAAGGCAATGTGATTTGGCAACCTCTAACAAAATTTAAAATCTTCACACCCTTGGACACAAAAATTGTATTTCTAAGAATTTATCATCTGATTATGTTTAGACTGCTTCTGAAAGCAATGTACTTTATAAAGGTACATGTGCACAGGTGTTCACTATCACATTCATGAAAGAAAATCCAAGAAATGTGTCTAATTTTCAGCAACACGACCTAATTACAATAAATTATGGAGCATTCACATAAAAATACTATACAACTATTTAAAAGACCAAAGTAAATCTCAATAGATAAATATGCCCTAAATATGCCCTATCATAGTTTTTTTATATGTGACATTATTCAAAGCTCGTGAAAACTCTATTATATAAATATTTGGTATTGTCGCCTTCCAAGTGTGAAAACTAAGATTCAGAGAAGTTAAGTGATTTTCCCAACATCACAGGGTTATGAAGTGATGAGGCTGGATTCCTCTGTGCTACTCTTGGCTCTAGAGGCAGGATTTTTAAACAGCGAGCAGCCTAAGGAGTTGGAGTAAGGAGTCCAAATGGTAACTAGACAGGGAGACTTGGTATTTGTAGTGTGTGTGCATTAGCTTGCCATTACAGTAACAAAATGCCTGGCATAATTAATTTATGAAGAGAAAAGGTTTATTTTGGCTCATAGTTTTGGGGGTTTCTGCCCTTGTTGCTTTGGGCCTGTAGTGAGACAGCACATCATAGCTGGAATAAGTGCTCATGTTATGAGCACTGTTTACATCATGATTGGGCACCAAAAAAGAGAAAGAAAGCACCAGGATCTCATTCACCTCTCTGAGGACACATCTCCAATGATCTAACTTTCTTGCACTAGGCCTCACTTCTTCTTTTTCTTCTTTTTTTTTTTTTTTTTTGTCTTTTTGATACAAGGTCTCCTGTGCAGTTCAGGCTGGCCTTGAGCTCACTTTGTAGCTCAGGCTAGTCTCAAACTTGCAGCAATCCTACTGTCTCTGCCTCCTGAGTGCTGGGATTACAGACCTGCACCACCACATCCAGTTTTTAGGCCTCATTTCTTAAAGGTTCCCAATAACATCAAACAGGGACCAAGCCTTTAATACATAGACCATTGGGGGATCTTTCAAGACCCAAACTATAGCATGCTGTTTGAAAGTATATACAATAATTTTCTAATCAGAAAGTTATTTTTTAAGAGATATGCTTATGTCTTCTTTCATTTTTATTTGCCAATTATCACAGGAAAATGTGAAAACAATATAATAAAATTTACAAGTTTAGTTTCACATTGCTAAAAGTTTTTTTAAGTTACTTATAAGAACTTTTTTTTAGTTTTTCTCCGGTACCGGGAACCGAACTCACGACCTTGCGCTTGCCAGGCAGGTGCTTTGCCACTGAGCTAAATCCCCAGCCCCCTTAAGTTACTTATAAGAACTTAATGAATACAGTGAATTTTCTGCAAATGCATTTTGCAATGAATTTTCTATAAGATAATGTTAAATGACTGTGTCACCTTGATATATATATATGAATATATATGTATATATATATATATCTTTTAAAATACACCATTTGTCAATATCACTGTGTTAACTCTCCCTGTGTTAACTCTCACACGTTCAGAACGTTTACAAATTGAAGACCCTGGTCCCCTGCTGAGTTACTTAGTTAAACTTCTAAACTTCCCAGACAGACAGAATGAATCAACCATAACATAGCCTCTGGGTAAAATTAGGAAGACAGGTCAAATCCCAGCTTCCCTAGACAAATCAGAAAATTGTGAATTCCCCATGTCCTTTGCTCTATCTAAATGATGCTATTATTCTAAGGATTTTACTCAAAGATAAACTCTTTATGATTCAATTTTCATCATGGCGCAGTTTTCATATTTTCACTCAAATATTTCTTACCGTACTTATAACTACTTGTGTTATATTTATATCCTGCTTAGACTTTAAACTATCAAAAACTATGTTTTTATTGATCATTTCACCTGCAACATCTAAAACAGACATCCATAATTAATTACTGTGCAAGGAATTTTATGTGCCTTGTTAGTGTTGCATTTTTTGTACTTTGATCTATCTTTTTATGTATCTGAGACCAGCTTCTAAAAATCTGACATTCTACTCTAGTCATTCCATAATAAACATTCATCAGAGAAAAGGAGGGAAAATGTTTTATTAATGCATTTGGACAATTATGATTGGCATGAGCTTTGCAAGAAGAAAGACCAGGAAACATGGCTGAATCAAAACAATCCTCATTCCTAGCTTGCACATGCATATAATTTTCAGACTTCTGCTTCATCATTCTTAATTATTCCTCATGAAAGGCTGTGGGCAAAGCTTTTCTCTTGTCTTTTTCTTTGATATTGTATGATTAATGGTATTAGTTCCCACTTTACCTTCAAAAGTTCATCAGCTTAATAAATGAATGTTTTCCCAATGTTAAAAAACTTCTATCTAACTCTTGTGTTGCCAGTTTATTTAAAAATCAGCATTATTGTTTTTACTCCTAATAGATGGTGATATTTTTGTTAAATTCACTTGTACACATGTGGTATTTAATTTACAATTTATAAATATTTCATTTTGCCACCCAGGTTTGTTTAGTTGTAGCCATTTGTCTTTTATGATTTTCTTGATGTAACAAATTAATCTCCTTCTAACATGTTTTGTTCTTGCTTTCTTCCTAAGTCCCTTCCTAAGTCCCTGACTGTTGGGCTGATCTGGCTTCATGTTGGTTGTGCAAGCGTTGAGGTACTAATTCCTAACATATGGACTGTCAACCCCTGGCTGAAATAAGAGAATGAGCATCCATATAACCTCATTCATATCATTATACTTTTCTCTCCCAGTCACTAACATACCATGGCCACCAATAAAGTAAATGGATTATGCTTCTGAAACAGTCCTATTTATTAACTGACTTATTCAAGGAGAAAAAATATTAAGGATCTATGCAGTGCTGAGCCGCTATAAAGTCCTATTGGCCTAAGATAGAGCAAGTGAAAAGATCAAAAACCAATTAACCAACCAAACTAAAAAGAGCACATAAAGCTCGATTATACTCGCTTGCTCTGTGATGCAAAAGACTGAAAAGGTTCACCGTTCCATCTGCTGTCCCAAAATTGGCATTTTAAAAACTAGGGCAAAGGAAATAAATTCCATTTGTATGTAAATTCCATAAGTTCTTAATAATAGTAGCCTGCAAAGGGTGAATCTCTGAGCAGTCTCCTTACCAGTATTGCCTAAATCACATGACTCAGTATTTTTGTGCTCCTGCAAATAAAGACCAATCTACCTTAGCAATAGCGAAGATTTTGATTCCCTTGATTCATCTATAAGAGTTTCAATTTAGAAGTCAGTATCTCAACAAGCAGGAGAAGAGGGGTTGAAGGAAGTGGAGGGGAATGGGGGAAAAAAGAAGTAATATATGTCCATACAGCGATATAGGTCATGTACAATATATGTCACGTACAAATTCCCTATGCTGATGTTATCATTATGTATAGTTAAAATGTACCAGTAAAATTTAAAAAGTCAAAAAAGAAGTCAACATCTCTGTTGACAGAACTACAACCTAGAGTTTTTTATGCAGCTCTGTAAATAATCACCCATTTATTCAACAAATATAGTCCTTGACTTACAATGCTTTAGCATATGATTTTTAAACTCTATGACCCATATAATCTTCCCTTCATTCTCTGCATAGCACTCAACCACTTTATTATAAAATAGAGTTTTATTAAATTATTTTGCCAAGTATAGGCTAACATCAGCGTTCTGAGCACATTATAGTAAGCTAGGATAAGCTGTAGTGTTCAGTAAGCTAAATGCATTAAATGTATCTTTTACTTAATATTTTCTACTTACAATAGGCTTGTTGGGACACAACCACACTGTAGGTTCAGGAACAGTTGTATTCCAATTTAAATAGATCAATAATTATTATTATATGAAAATAGCTAAGGCTTATGCATGAATAGGAAATGTAACCCCTGAAATTCAGGCACGTTGTTAACTTGCTAAAAATGGTAATAAAAAGACTGAGACCAGTTATTTCAGGTGACAGAGTGTAAACTTTACATTACTAAATTTGTACATTACTGTTCTCTCTATCCCTTAGTATCAACTCGAGTTCTATTTGAATTATTACATAGTTCTCCCTCTCCCTTCAAAGGAGAGCTCTAATAACCCATTCCCCTGTATTTTTGCAATTCCTACTCCATCCCTAAAAACTACTCTCTATAATGTTTACATGTTTGAGCAAGGGGAGGGGGATGTTCTTTGAAATCTCAGTGAGATATTCCCATCCTTTATTATCTTCTGAATTCCTTTTTATTCTCTTTTTGAAACAGGGTTTTGCTATGCAGTTCAGGCTGGTTTTAACTCACTTTGTAGCCCAGGCTGGTCTTGAACTCATGGTGATCCACCTGCTCATCCTCCCAAGTGCCGGGATTAGAGACATGCACCACCACACCCGGCCTGAATTCTTAAGTAGTAATAAATACTAATTCCCATTCCTTTCTAGGAAGATAGAAATATCCAGTTCCTAAAGGTAGACTTAAAGCAAAGCTTTAATAACCGCTGCTACTTTCCTCTGACATTAATGAATAAAACCAGAGCTTTGCAAATGTGTGCTCATGGTATAAACCATAGATTGCTACAAGTTTAGAAGCGCCTGCTTCAGACACTGAAAATGCTTCACCTAAATCGCTTGAGAAAAAATAAACAGTGGTGAACTCTGTCCTCTATCCACCCAGGTTTTCAGGGTGTGGGATATACAGACTCTTTCCCTGTTACAAGTCTTCCATGACACCCAGGGAGGACCAGGAGACATGCAGATTTATTCCATGATATACGATACCAAACACGGCATGCTTATCACAGGTAGGTGTATCCAGATAATTGTAAATCAAACTAATGTTTTGGTTTTTAACCTTTTTAAAATGAGCACTTAAGCATGTTCTATTGGAGGGAGGCCAAAAAGGAGTAATTACAAACCATGATTCACCACCACAGTAGGTCTAACTTTCAATTCCATGCTTTCTTATGACTATATGGCCAGGTGGATGAAACACGTAAATGTCGTTTTCTGAAAATAACAGGTCAGTTCTTTACGTTCTTGATGCGCAACTCAAGAATACACAGGAACGGGGAATGTAGGTGCTATGTCTAGGACAAATCCAGCTCCTATGCTCAGCTCTGAATGTGATCCTCTCTTAGGTGATGGTCCCAGCATAAGCCCCTTTTCTGCAGCAAGGCAATTAGCCCTATGCATTCTGCTCATGAGGCCGTTAGTAAGAATAATGCAGGCCCTCCCAACTGTCTTTACTTCTGCCTTTTTTTTTGAGACAGGGTCTTGCTATGTAGCCAGATTTTCTTTTTCTTTTTTTTCTTGCAGTCTCTTAGACAGACACAGTAAAGAAACAAGTTGCCCTGTTGGGTATTTAGCTTGAACACTCTTCACATGCTTACCCTTAAGCTAGAAAAGAAATGAATGATATTGATAGTAGTTCCTCTTCTGGAACACTCAGCCAAAGTTGCATTTCCTAAGCATATGCCCACTGACCACCTGCTGTGAGTTACTGTGGGACTAATTAAGGAAGGGAAATGCTTGGTGCTATCTCTGGTGAAGAATATAATTATTTTTAACTTTTGTGTTGGTGGTTTTTCTTTAGGTTAGGAGGGAGCTAGCATGTTGTGCTTGAGTTGTACGTACCCACCTCTACATGACCCCCTCTAAAAAGAATATATGAATGGCTACATGAAAATTTTTCCTCTTAGTTCCCCAACTGGCATGTTTGAACCCTGGGTTCAACATTTCTATCGCATTTATCATCAGAGTAACTAAGGATTCAAATATCAAGTAAAAAGAAGAAAGAAAATAGAAAAAAATAATATTTCTTCTCAGTTGTATATCATTTTGGGAGTGTTTCTGCCTGCAGAAAATACAGAGTTCTATGTATTGCTTAACTACTGAAATTACATACATTGACTATAAACTTCAACTTGATATTAGAATTCCATGAAATTTATTAATTCATGCTTTGATTCAAATGAAGTAGCTTTATGTAACATCCCTCTATACCACACCAACAGCAGCATGTGCTAAAAAGGCTCGGCAGAAAATGTTATTGTCACTGTCATAACTTCCTGCTTTTATTAAGACAACAACCATTTGTACATTTCTTTTTTACTTTTTTCATTTTATCACCTAACCCCACCTTATGAAGCAGGAATTATTAAAATTATAAGTGGAAAAACTGCTTTCTCGAACAGTTTAGCTGACTTATGCTGGGACCATCACCTTCACTATCTACAAGGTAGAGACATTGAGCTGGGATTTGATCTCAGAGCTTCTGACTCCTGAACCCACATTCATGCTCCATACCACATCATTCCCCCAGCTGTAGTACAATCCACAGGAAAAAAAAAAGAAAGAAAAGAAAATTATCACTTTCCCATAAACACACCTAGCTTTGTTTATGTCCATTCTGAATAAAGTTAGTTCCTGTGAGCACAATATTAAAGCATCTGCCAGGAAGCTCTAAGTGTGGTTTGGTTGTCTGGGTACCATATGTCTCTCACATTTCCATACTGAGATATCTGAATTGAGAAATATTACCAGATGATCTGTTTCAGCCCTTCTTTACACATGAACAGATTTTATCTTAAAATTTAAGCACTTAGGAAAGTCTTTAGCAACTCCTGCTAGAAATTTCAAAGTTGAGATTTCTTTGGGGCTGGGGATTTAGCTCAGCAGCACAGCACCTGCCCAGCAAGCACAAGGTCGTAAGTTTGATCCCCGGTACTGGGAAAAATACCAAGAAAAAAAAAAAAAAAACAGGAGTGAGATTTCTTTGAAGATATTTGAGAAACCCAATGCAAAGTCAGCTGTTGGTAACTTGATCTCCACATCAATAAAAATAGGGAAGATGTTTTATTTTTATTTGAGCTACCAGAATACTTTGAGTATCAGGACTTCTAGACATGACACTAAAATAGAACACATAATCAATTGATTTTGAGAGTTAATACTTGAAGTGTGTAGTACAACTGTAAAAACAAACCAAAGGCCCTTAGTAAAAAATGCAAGAATGCCTGATCGTCTCATGGCCTTGCTAACTGCATCTGTCATGTGGTAGTTTGGAAATCCATTTTACTTAATTTTGATGTTATAATGATCAGCTTGCAATCGTTCACATTCATTATAAGTAATAAAACCATGCTCACAGAGTTCTTTATAATTTGTTGGTTGAAAAATGCTCTAACATTCATGAGAAGCCACTTTGAAGATATCAATATGTAATACAACCACCATTGTTAATTCCCTACCACTTTGTTTGTAACTCTGTATTGTCTGTATTGTGCTTGTGATATGTTGTAAAATGTTGTATGTCTGTTAATGTTTCCCTCCTTTTATCTTTAAAATTTAAAAAAAAAAGAAAAATGCTCTAACAATAAATTTCCATCACTAAATGGAAGCTTGCCTTCTGCAGAAACCTGACCATCACCCTCATTGCTATGATCCAGATGGAGAGGCACAAGGAGGCACATAAAGTAGACCACAAAATTTAGGGTATTGTGGTCACTAAGATGGAGATGTCAGTGAAGCCTAAATGACCTGTACTTGAAAAATAATGAAGTTCAAAATGAATGTTTCTTCTTTGGCTAAATCACATTTGCTTTATGTGTCAAAAACATTTCAGTGTAAGAGAATGTATTTCTCCTCATGAAATTTCCTAGGCATCGATATTACTAGTTTCACTGATAGGCTGTTTTCAGACCCAACTAGTTGGGTAAAATCTTTTGTGAATCTAAACTTCTAGGATGGAGCATTTATGGGATTCTTATTTCTGTGCCAGGATCAAATTTTATAGACATGTATCCTCTTACAAGGATGATACAAGACACGAAACAGGTTCCTCACACTCATGAACGAGAAATCAATGTCATGCTTTACAACAAGTATTGTCACCAAGTACTCACTATCTGCTCGGAATCGATAATTAAGGTGAGTACATATTGGTTCTACAAACAGAAAAAGGCAGAGCAAATAGGATTTTCTCTTCTTCCAGGCATATCATTGTGTGAATAAGTAAATGTAGTGGGATATGTGATGAGACTGTATATTGGAGCTCTTTTTAACTTTTCATGAATACATGAGAAAGAAAAAATTTAAGCCAGCTCAAACTGCTTGCTACCGAGGAACATCCCTGAATGAAGAAATAAATCTAGTCTTTACTATCAAAATAGAACACTTAAAGGAAATATATAAAGGTAAGATAATTAACCTGTGTGTTATAACAGTTTATATTTCTATCTTTTTATTTTGACAACTAGATGAAGTGTTCTTAGAGTACTTTTCCAATTCAAAGATATCCAGATGTCTTAATTGTGGGGAAAACTATATTTATTTTATTTTTCACTGAGCTATAAATAGAGAGTATATGTTAAGAAGGGAAGGAAAAGGGGCTGGGGATTTAGCTCAGCAGCAAAAGCGCCTGCCTGGCAAGCGCAAGGTCATGAGTTCGGTTCCCGGTACCGGAGAAAAAACCAAAAAAAAAAAAAAAGAAGGGAAGGAAAAAAGCTATGGTCATTTACTAAAACATCTGTAGGTGTAAGACATGTGCTACAACATTAAGTCTAAGATCGCATTCTTTATGAAAGTTCTTGGTGAATGCATGACTTTGATTTTAAAGGTCTAAGGCTCAGAGAGACCAAATACCTTTCCCCCTATATGAGTCAGTTTTCTGTGTCTGGGACATAATACCAAATGCAATTTAAAAGAGGAGAGGTTTGATTTGGCTAACGGTTTCAGGGAGTTCAGTCCATGGTCAGCTGTTTCTAAGGCAGAAATATTATGGCAAAGGGCATGGTAGAGCAAAGCTGCCTAGTTCATAGTGGCCAGGAAGCCGAGCAGTGGAACAGCACTAGATTAGGAGCCAGATATAGACCCCATTGCCAAACCTTCATGGCCCACCCAAATATACCCAGAAGTATGCCTCACCAATCCCTGGGGTAGATTCTCAAAGTCACTCAAGTTGACTCTCCACCTTAATCACTGCCCCACCCCCAGTTAATAAGCAGAAGAACTGGAATATGGGCTAAGACCTGCCTGTCATGAATTCCCATGACCTTTATGCTCCATCCCTCTAGCCCTATCACTACTGTGTTCAGAGGCCAGGGTACTTGGCCATGCTGTATCCATTATTATAACCATTGACATCATCTGGCAGTGATGGCTAGAGGTGTTTACATCAGATGTTCATCCTTTTATTCCTAAGAGGGGATATATGGACCTTTAGAGAACATTCTTCCAGAAACTTGTGAAATTGTTTCTCAGTGTTTGACTTTCTGTGTTCATATGCTAGAGATTTTATTGGGCCAAAAGTTTCTGAGTTAAATTATTTATCACTTATTTCTGGCCATGTCTAAAGAGAAAGTAAGCAGACAGAAGCAAAGACTAAAAGCTATCCTGCTTTCATGCAATAATTACCTTTAGGTAGATGCCATCTTCCCTGTGTAAGACCGGGGAAGTGAAAGGAATTTATCTGGGTGAGTTTCAATACTGATCAGCTGGACAGGGGTTATACTTCAGACCTGACCCTGCCCTTTCTCCCACATTCCTCTTTCTCCATGAAGGACTTTATCTATACCCAGGGAGACACAGAAGTTAGGAACCTGGGCTCCAGGGACAAGCTGACTTCATTCAAATACTGGCTGTAATATTTCCCAGTCAGTGGCCCTGTGTTATCTGGCCCTCAGGCTTCCTCATCAGTCCTCTCTCCTCCCATGCTCCCTCTCTCACCTACGTGGAACAGCTATCCTTCAGTTCCCTGAGGACAAATGCATTTTCCTGTATTTAGCCTTGTGTACATGCTGCCTCCCAATAGCTCAGTTATAATCACTTTGGTATTGCCAGTCCTGTGCTGTTATCGCTGGCCATCTAATTAACATCTGAACTTGGCAGATCCACAAAGACAGAGGTTTAGTGACCGAGTCCACAGGTCTACCGCCTCTGCTGTGCTTCTGAAGAAAGAGAACAATGGATTTTTTCTTTTGAGACAGGATCTTGCTATGTAGTCCAGACTGGCTTTGAACACACTATATAGCCAAGGCTGTCCTTGAAATTGCAGCAATACTGCTGCCTCAGCCTCAAAGTGCTGGGATTACAGGTGTGTGCCACCATGCCTGGATCAGAATGATGTATTTTGACAAGTATCTGGATTATCTAATTATAGAGTCAGTGTTTCTCCCTGTTCTCCTTCCGTTATCCCTCCCTCCCCCACCCTCTCCTTCTAAAACCCCTATGGACATGTGCTTATAACATTAAGTCTATGATCTCCCTCTCCATCCATTTCTCTCACTACTTGGAAAAATCAAGGAGTTCATTTCACCAGTCTATCTCAGATACCATACTTTTCACCACAGATTCTACCCGTGATCCTTGGGTAATTTGGATGAGTATCACTGGGAAATAAAATCAGTTCTGATTTTTCTCTCTGCTGCACTTTTTTTTTTTTAAATTATTTTATAGAGTAAAAGAAGGATAACATAGTAATGGGGAGCTTACCGAATTACAGACAAAGTGGTAGGAAATTATCAATGGTTGTTGTTTTACATATTGTTATCTACAAGATAGTTTCTCAGGAAAACACTTAGACAAATAATAGTGAGCTACAGACAAAAGTGGTAGGTTATTATCAATGGTTGTTGTATTATACTTTGGTATCTTCAAAGTGGCTTCTAAAGAAAATAATTAGAGCTATACATGAGTAACCAACTGAATATTCATTGACTATTCTCAATGGTTGTTGTAGGGAACACATAGTAATAAACATATTTCCATTTATGAAATAGTTTAGGAACAATACAAACATTACAGAGTTATGGACAGATTAGTAGGAAAATATCAATGGCTGCTGTAATACATGGTGGCATCTTCAAAGTGGTTTCTCAGGAAGACAGAGATATGCAAGAAAGATCTAACAAGTACTTACAGCCTAAGGGTTGTGAAAAATAGTGGATTACCTCCTCACCAGTGACTCCTTTTACTGAGGTGTGACAGCTGGAAGGAAGGCCAAGATTGAAAAGAAGGACCGAGAGATTTGCACCTGTGTCTAGCAACAGGCTGTTTTCTTTTTCCTCTATAGTCGTGATTACCCAGGGCTCCTCCATGGAGATGACAGTCTGGCCAGAGGGAGAAGGCAGAGTATGCCCCGGGCCTGCTCATTCCTGTTAGACTAACCGCTAGGATGGGACTGAGCTCTGGGGCCTCAGCTTCAGAGGGCAGACCAATCTCCAGTCACCTTTGCATTCAGGGCATGGCCCAGGGGGCTTCTTAGGGCATTTCCTCTTGAGGTGGCCTGGCTTTTAACAGTGGTAGCAGATGAATGTAGTTCTGCTGCACTTTTAACTGTTACGTTTGTATCTTGGTGCTAACACTGCTTCACACTTATAGTACTGTGTCAGTTTGCACTCCATTAAAGTGCCAGAATTCCACATATAATCAACTTACTAATAGGAAAGGCTTACTTTGGCTCACAGTTTTGAGACCGGTTGATTTTCCTCATTGCTTCTGGGCCTATGGTTAGGATGTGCACCAGGGAGGCAGTGTGAGATGGAGCAGCTGTTCATCACACTCCAACTTTCTTTGATCAAACCAACATCAGGACAGAAGACTGAGAAATGCTAGATGTGCAGAGTACTAGTTTGGAGTCTGTTTTGAATGTGGAATAATTTTGTTGTGAATTGAAGAGCATATGTATAGGTTGCTTGATTTTGTTGCTGCTGTTTTCTACAGGTGTGGGAACTCGAGACTGGTATCCAAATATACCAGATTATGGACCCTCATGGCATCAATGTTGAACTGACTTCTGCAGCTATTGATGAAACTGGAGTTCTTTTTGCCACAGGAGCATGTACTGGTTAGACTAATACAGTGTGGCCTCCCGCCTTAATGTTCTGAGTGTTTGTGCTAGAACTCATTAGGTTTTGGGTTGCCGGGAAAACATGAGTCAGGCCAGAAATATGTAAACATGCCAGAGCTATGATTCAGTGAAAGGTGACAGACTTGTTTATAGCACATTGATGTCTTGAGATTGATGTTAAATAATCAATAACCTATATTGCATTTATCTAGTTACTGTAGCTCATTACAAAAATCTTTCACATATAAAGTGTTTGTGTTTCACTGCCTCCTTCTATTCTAATTTTCAGTACTAAAAGATAGATATCAGACCCAGTGAGAGACAGTGACAGTGGTAATTGAATCCAGAGATTACAGCATGCACAGTACCACTGAGCTAAACCCCTATCATCTCAAATATTTTTGCTCAAGCAGATTTTTGAGACCAGAAAAAATATTCAACCAACTTTAGTATAGAATGTCTAGAATTATGTACTTGCTCTAATGTGCTGCCTCTTTGAGAGCATGTGCCATATCAAAATTGAGAGAACGTCAAGCTCAAGATGAAATATTTGTTTTATATGTCTCATGTCACAGAACTCTGCAGAGAACTTGCAGTAACCAGAAAACTACAGATCACCCTATGTTTCACCTCCTCTTGTTCTGAACTCCTATGAAAGAGCTTTGTCTAGACAGTTTAATCAATGGCATACGTTGAACATGATTATTCTAGAAATGTCCGTACTAAAAATTAGTGCTTACACACAAGTCGGTGTAAGTGAGCATACTGAAATGAAAGTCAGAATTTTGAAGACACAGGGAAAAGGTAACAGCATGAAATAAAATCATGATTGCTGGGCAAATACAACTCCTCTTTATATGGCACAGTGCTTAAGAAAGCAATCCTGTGCCCCAAGGACACCCTGCTCACAATAAAAATTAGTAGTGACAGAAATTCTAAGCAATGAACACAATCTTTATTAGGCATGAGGACTAATCAATTCAGTATGATTGGCAGTAGTAGTTTCACATAAACAAGCCATATTATACCTCATCATTCCTATGATCTGTAGTTCTTTCAAGTATTGGTGGATTGTCCTTATAATAGGTACATAAGTTAATACGACAAAGATCCCGAGTGTAAGACGCTTGAGAAAGTAAGATTCTCTGACTCTCAGAGCAGCTCCACCCAAACACCATCAATCTCCTCTCTCTATCACTACCACCACCTAGAAAGAACTGAAAGGTACCTCTTCTACTCTCTGCCAAACACAGTGAAGTTCCAAGGTAGAAGAAAATCTGAGCCATGGGAGTGTGCTCTGAATAACCCAGGAATGAATGCAAACACAATAACTTCTTTTGTTTGTATGACTCTTTTCCTACAAGACCATAGGGTCCTTGAGGGCAGGAGCTGTGATGATCCACTTTATATCAGAAGAGCCTGTCTCAGTAAGGGTATACAGGGAGGACTTCATCAATGTTAGTGAACGAAAAGATGTGGAGGTGTTATTAGTGTTGCTGATGGAGATCCTGGCACAGGGGAAGGAAAACAACACAGTGACACAGTCTGAATATGCAGCAGGATTCAAGCCAAGGCATCAAAAGTGTGTGGGGGGGGTGGTGTTAGATTTAAAGGAGGGGTGGAAAAGTGGATTCTACACCTGAGGTGACCACTATAAAAACCCATGTGAGGAAATAATTCTCCACACAGTAGTGTAGATCCCTCCTTGTCCCTTCATCCAGATCTCTTAAACCAAGTGAATGAAGTTAATGATATAGAAATTATCTCAGTCTGTTTGGGCTATTATGATGAAATGCCATTGCCTGGCCTATGAGTATCATAAATTTGTTTCTCATAATTCTGGAGGCTAGGAAGTCCGAGATAGAGACCATAGCCAATTTTGGTGAGAACCATTTCCTGGTGCCTTTTTGCTGTGTACTCACACAGTAGAAGAAGTGAGGGCATTCTTTAATATCTTTTTTAAAAAGGATACTTATTGGGCTGGGGATTTAGCTCAGTGGCATAGCGCCTGCCTGGCAAGCGCAACATCGTGAGTTCAATTCCCAGTACCAGAAGAAAAAAAAAAAAAAGGATACTCATTGAGAATGAGGTTCTAACAGAATGTGTCTCAATGTAAGAAACAAAATTTGACATTTCTTTTTTTCTTTCCCAAATAATCAATAAAACAACTCCAAGCCAGATAGCTTCTTATCTGTTGGAATTCCCTCAAGCCTTTTATTATCCAATAAGAGCTAGTGTCCTAAAATATGTCAGCACCCTAGGAAATGTGACAGATTATGACAATTACCTTTAGCTGTTAATAATAATTATGGTGTGGTGGTTAAAATTTCTGTATATGGGGGTGTTTAGCAAACTCAAAAGCACTGGGAGAATACATGAAAAGATCTATTTAAGAAAGAAAGCTCAAATAGGAGAGTCCAGGAGTTTCTAAGAAAACTGTCACCTTCCTGTTACTATAGCAAATACTCTAAATAATCAACTTATAAGAAGGAAACATTTATTTTGGTTCATGGTTTCAGAGGTTTCAGTCCATGGTCACTTGGCCGATGGCTTTTTTGTGCCTGTGGCAAGGCATCATGACAACGAAAATGTGATACAGCAAAGCTGCTCACTTTACGGCAGCTGGGAAATGAAAGAGAGACAAGGGCCAGGGTCCCACAACCCCCACTCAAGGCCACACCCCAATGACCTAATTTCCTTCCACCAGACTCTATTAAAGGTTCCCCTATCTCCCACTAGTGCCAGGTTAGAACCCAAGCCTTTAACATATGGAACTTTGGAGGATGTTTATCCAAACCACAGCAAAAATCATCAGCAGATTTTAAGACACTGCCTGGTCCTATTTGTTTTTTATCAGCTGGTGACAAATTCAGACAGAAATGTATTTCATGTCTATTCTGTGGGAAGACTCATTTGTAAGTCTTAGGGGAAAAGAAACATAGGATCAATTGTTAGAAAGTTTTTAATCGACTCACTGTTCTCTGAGCTAAATGTCGAGGTTTTTTACAAATCATTTTACTCATATAGTCTTTTCTCTGTGTGCTAAGGAACACTCAAAATCTGGGACTTTAGCAGTGGACAAGAGATGAAAGTGCTGCTGGAAGGGAAAGACTGGAAAGAGGAAGAGCACTGGCTGAAGCACCTGATTTTCCTCCACAGTCAGGACAAACACCAGTACTTCATCCTTGCCTTGGAGTGCAATGGGACTATCAAAATGATCCAGGTTTCCAGTCCTGTTCTTACATTTGTACTGTAGATGGTAGTCTTGGGGAAATCAAATGAGTCAGTAGATAATCTCTACTTAACTCCCCTCTTGCTAACCAGCAAAGTATAGTGTTTATGCACTAACTTCCCTGTGATGCTCCTAATTAACTCTGCAAAAAAGCAAAAGGAGGAGTTGCCCAGGCAACACGCTGCCTATCAAGCTCTTGCTGCGGGATTAGTCAGGATCTTCTAACACAGGTATCAGAAAGGTGAAATCTACACATAGCTGCCACTGCTGGCGTTGCTTATACTCTCATTGGGGAGTAATTCACTGCTCCCCCCACAGCTTCTCCTCAGCAAGCTCTCTCCCTTATAATCCATACTGCATTCAGAAATGCTCAAGTCAGTTCTTCTGTTTGTCACCAAAATTGCTTTGTTTATTTTAAAGTTAATAAGGCAATCTGCTCAGGACTGTTTGGGGAAGATCGAGAAAGGCTAATTTATTTTTCCTGCGAAACTCTCACAGCCTAGGAATACTAATGTCTTCTTCAAATCTAAAATTAAGGCTACGTTTTTATCATGGCTAAGTGGATCTCACCCTGCCAGCAAGAGCTCAAGGACTCATTGCCTTTATTATTCTCTTTCTGGAAGCTAAGATTAGAAAACAAGTCTGGAATAGGAGAGCAATCACGAAGTACCAGCATTGATTACGATGACTAATGACCTTTTAGAAGGGAAAAAAGGAGTGAAAACCTCCCCTGATTCAATATTCTCTACCCTTGTTGTCTGCATAATCCAAAAAGACACTGTAGGATTTCCTGGTAACACACTATACGGCACAGCAATATGTCAATTTCCCATCTTTAAATTAGTGCAGTTGATCATCAGGATGCCCTTCCCTGTC